TGTTGCCTTTGCCTTAATCAACATTTACTGCAGTTTTTTGCAGTATTCCATGTGTACACTGATGATCTTCTTAATGCTAATTACTTGCAAAGAGCAATTGCCATTTTAATGGCAACCACTGTGAATTACTTTGTCTTATAAGAAAATTAAAATCTAAGCATCCATTTTGTTTGTTCTAAAATCATTTTGAAGCTTTAGTTTATCTGTTCTTTGCAAAACACTTAATCAAAGGCAGGGAGATGATCTCTAATGACCTTTGAGTTTGGTGGCAAAATTTTAATAAAGGGCTCGCTAGATCTATGGGACACCTACCTCTTCCAGCACATCGCTGGATTAATGGAATAATAAATCTTTATTATGTGTAGTCAATGACCTGAGACTGAAAACTAGATGCAAGAGAGAAGAGACACAGTATAGGAAAGGTGAAGTAACATTTGATTTTTCTGGCTTGAGTCTGTGATAAAGTGCAAATTGTAAATGATTATGTAACTGTTATCTATTAAACCTAAAATGTATTATATGTTTTATACCACATAAAAGTCAGATTAGTATTCTCATCTTAGCTTCCGTTTTGTGAAATGGAAATTATCTGAAACTGTGATGTTCAATGTTCATACAAGTAAACTGCAAGAATTTTTACATTATAGCTACCAAAAGAGTTCAGAATAAGTTACATGATACGTTCACAGTGTAACATAAAACCTAGGTAGTAGGTTCAGTTTGTAAATTTTACATTAAATGTACATGATTTAAAAGCTCAGGAACATCTGGAATTCATGAGACTGCTCAATTTATATACAGTAAAATTCCAATAGTCCGACACTCCTGATAGTCCGGCATCAAAATGGCAAGAGCATAGTGAGTGAGCTTCAGCAAAAAATGAGTCACGAGGTAACAGCGGCAGCAGCTGAACTGAGCAAAAAGGGTAAAAAAGGCTTACAAAAACTAAAACATTATAGTATGCTGTATACCGTACGTTCAATAAAAAGGGTTAAGAACACTTTATATACAGTATATAATGTATACAGTATATATATAACCAGTTTATAGTACCTCCTGATATTCCAGCATATTTGATAATCCGGCACCACCTAGGTCCCATAGGTTCTGGATTATCGGAAGTCTATTGTATATATATTCAGTACAAACACTGATGCTTCTGATTAGATATCACTTTTACTCTAATAAGTATTAATTTTAAAAAGTTAACTATAGATTGAACCTCTATAGTCCGGCACCCTCATAACCTGAGTGGTCCCGAATAAGAGAATTTGCCAAATCACAAGAGGTCAATAGTGTTTAGCAGCATTACCAATACTTCTAAGAGCCCAGCAAGCAGAGGAAGACATTTAAGGATAAATTAGAAGCAAGTGTGGGGAGCCTCAGGCCTCGGGGCCAGATGCAAGCCTCCGAGGCTCTAGGCCCGCATCCTTGTCCCCCCCCAGCACTGGGGAGTCCGCACTGTCGCTTCAGTCCCCCTGCTGCCCATCGCAGGTCTAGGGCACACAAAATCTGCTAGGCTGCCCTCCCAAGTTCTGGTTTCTGAGGGGAGTTTGGGGAGTGTCTTTCTCCTTTTCAGTTATTGGCCACGTCAGTGAGAGGTGGTTTTTTTGGGGGGGAGTTGGCTTTTCATTTGTACTGCCCCCAACTGATTTTTCTGTGGGTGAGTGGCTCCCAATCCCAGAAAGGTTTTCCACCCCTGAATTACAGCTAAATAACAGCTCAGAGCACTGAGAGCCCGGACTGGTGGCTCTAAATAAACTTTATGGAACCACGGGAAACTTGGCCACACCCATGATAAATGGACCTCTGACTAACTAAAATTATGCCAGACCACGGATGTTGCCAGATTAGAGACGTTCAACCTGTATAATATTGTAATAAATATTACTGGATTCCCAAGTAGCAAAGTAGAAAGGACAAAAGACAAGCAACAAAGTTCAGATTGTTGCAACCTGAAGAAAGTAAATGTATATTGCTTTTGAGTGAGTGTAAATAGCACAGTTGTTTTCTGAACAATTTATACCTACTGCAACTTTCAGTAAACATAAGTTTCACCACTATTTATATTTTCACTTCATTTGGCTTATGTTCTTTAAGAAAATCATAAAAAACTTCACTTTTTCATTTTTTTCCCAAAGTGCTAACATTTAGAGCACTTTTTAATTCCATAGCTGCATTTACCATGTTTTGTACCTTAAAATATAATAATAGGCATGATTGTAAACAGTCATTTTTAAATAGTTCTTTAGGCTGTAATAATAAATGATGTGTTTGTGTTGGCATGCAAGTTCAAAACTCATCCACAGATTCATAGCAACTGCTTATCCTAGGCCATCCTAGCTTAAACAGGTCAGTCTAACATTTGCCTTCCAGGCACAAATAAGCATGTAATTACTCTGTAATCACATTGTAATTAGTATGTACTATGCATATATTGCCTAATTATATGCCCTACAGATTATGTGGCAATTATACTTCAATTTAGCATATAATTCTATATGCTGTATCACAGAAAAAAACTTTTGAGTAAAGGTTATAATTATATGCTAATGTAGTACAACATTTTAACATTATAATAATGTTAAGATTATCCCCAAACCAAATGTCTGAATGTGATAAAAATCATTTATATTGTTAGGCATGCAACATGAACTCCATGGTGCTATCTACCTTTTCTCAAAGGCCACATTACATATTTTGGTTTAGTGTCTCTTCTAAGGACATTGGAATAATTAAAATTTTGTCCTTTTAATGAAAATATTATATATTCTATAGACCTGTCACACTTTGCTTCATGTGCATATGGAATTAGCTTTTCAAATAATTAAGCTCTTGCTATTTATAGGCTTTTACAGCTCTATCCCCATAATATTTGAGCACATTACAATATTAATTTATACTTTCATCCCGTTCAAATAGGAGACTATAATTATCTCCATTTTACAGATGGGGAAGTGAGAGAGACAAAGATTTAGGGTGCTTGCCACAGGTCGTGCTGTTAGTCTCCCTGAAAGTTGGGAATCAACCTCAGATCTCTTAAGACGCAGTGCAGTGTCTTAAAACACTTCTCTTACTTTCTAAACTAAGTATATGTGGTCCGGTATTACATGGTTTAAGTGATAGAGCTTGATTCTAATCTCACTAACAAAAATATATAGGATCATGAGCTTCCTATCAGGATGGTTAAACACTGGAATACATTGCCTAGGGAGGTTGTGGAATCTCCATTACTGGAGATATTTAAGAGCAGGTTGGATAGACATCTATCTGGGATGATCTAGATCAGGGCTACTCAACATGTGGCTCGTGGCTCGTTTGTTTGTGTCCCATGGTGCGGTTTAGGTTTATATGGGGCTCAACATGTGGCCTGTGGGTGGGATCCTTTGAAGATGGCCTCCACTGGGAACATGTTCCACAACAGTGAGTCAATATAATGGTCTTCTGTTGATGTGTGTTTTAGTAATGAAATTCCTGGACTGTCATTGCTCATTAAAAATGCTGTCATATGGGTGGAAATGTGGCAAATATTACATTTTATTAATATCAGCAGAACTGACTTATATGGGGCCTGCGTGTTGTGTAGTCTTGACTTAATCTTTGTATTCATGCCTGTCCGTGTGAAAGAAGCTATTTGCATATATATTTGCATTTAAGTTGCAGCCCTCAGCATGTACTGTGAGTATCATTGTGGCTCCCGGGGCTTCCAAACTTGAGTAGCCATGATCTAGATGGTGCTTAGTCCTGCCGTGAGGTCCCTTCCAGTTCTAGTATTCTATGATTCTGTGATTAAAAACACTTTGTCCAATGAGTATATAAACTTTGAACTTTTGACTATTTTATTACCAAGAAAGAATGTTATTAACTACAAGAAAGTCTTTGTAAAGTTTCCGAAGAAAGGATGCTCCAGGCATTCCAACCCCCATGCTCCGGAGGCAGCAACTCTGTTACATTTTAAGAGCTTGCCACATGGTGTTGGGTTCTAGCTTTCAAATGAAATTATGCATAATAGGGAGTTATGACTATTCTTGCATCTGTAGTGTTGGATTGATCCTGATTATTCATGTCAGTTCAAAATTATTTGTCTACCCTTAATTCCAGTTTACTTCACTTTCAAATGACTGGATTTTGTAAAACTTTAATAGTCAGATAAAATCTACCAAATTTGCAAAATGTATAATTACATCCTTCACATTTAATGAAATGTTTTGATCTCTGAATTGCCATAGATTTGCACATAGGGCACATGGTCTATTTTTATATATTTTAAAGTATTCCCGTGTGTTGGCCTGTGTCTTTAATACTGACTAACCTCCATAGACATTGTAAGGTTCAGGGTGTACTTATGGTCTTCTTTAAATTGTCTTGCTGGCTCTGTAGAGGTAAGCATGGAGCTTACAAAGTTTGTAGGGTGGGCTTACAGAGCTCTTAGGTGCTCAACTGCATGTGCTAACCTTTCAAGTTCTGTGGACTCTGTACCTTATAAACTCTGTAGTAATAAGCATGTAGTCTGTACATTCTGCAGAATGAGCATATAAACTTTTAAAAGGTTGGGAAGTATGCTCATCAATGGGGTTATAAATGCTATTTATAGTGGGATTTTTGGAGAAATGACTAAACGATAGGAATCTGTGTCTTCACTGCGGTCTTTCACAGTGAACAGTTTTTTGTCTGTTGCAACTCCATTGATTTTAATGGAGTTACACCAGGGATTAATTAGCTCAGTATGCTTTTACTGTATTTGTTTTACAAGGTAGATCAAGTGCAATCCTACTGACTTTAGTCATCCTTCATTTTCCACCATTATAATTTTAACATATGCTTATGCACTTTCTCTCTCATTAAATTATGAGCCAAAGAAACATAAGGGGCGGACACATTTTCTGGCAGCCAAGATTTCTTAGCTGACAAATATATGCTCAAGATCTCATTAACTGTGAAATAGATACAAACCTTAAAACACAATATTAAACCAGATATATTTCTTACTATTTTTACAGTGGAACCAGCACTTTCAAAGGGAAACAATTGTTTGGATGCAGCCAAAGCCTGTAACCTAAATGATACTTGCAAGAAGTTCAGATCTGCTTATATAACACCCTGTACCAGCAGTACATCTAATGAAATCTGCAACAAACGGAAGTGTCATAAGGCTCTTCGGGTATTTTTTGACAAAGTTCCCCCAAAGCACAGCTATGGGATGCTCTTCTGCTCCTGTCGAGATACGGCCTGTACAGAAAGGAGACGGCAGACTATTGTTCCTGTGTGTTCATATGAGGACAAGGAGAAACCAAACTGCTTGAATTTACTGGATTCGTGCAAAAAGAATTACATCTGCAGGTAAGATGACAGTGACTTGAGGTAGCAGGGAGAACCTTTGGAGCTGCAGAAACTGCCAAGACTTTGAATAAGAACTTCCACCGGGGAGTACGATTGTCGGGGTGCTGGGAGGGGGAACTTTTCCTTTACATGTCTTCATGAAATGGTGACTTGCAAGTTTATTTTCATAATTGACGAGCTGAAAGAGCTGGTGGGAAATGTTTAATATTTGAAGACCCTAATGTTGCTTGTGAATAATAGTGTAACTGTTAGTGGATATGAGCCATAACCTGGACCGTGTTCAGAGCCCTACTATACAGGTTGTTCATAGGGTTTTTCTGCAGTATGGGAATCCTCCCGCTCAGGGTGTGGATCAGTTCCTGCTGCAGTTTTAGAGATGCAGTAAGCTTTGGACTGTTTTGTCCTGCCACCCCCACCTCTCCTCATTTCTTTTTTGTTTGATTAATGTATCAGTAGCTGTTGATTCCCTAGTCCAGCTCCCAAACCCTCTTCATCCTCTGTGTGTCTGTCTGGGAAGGGGGTACCCTTTGCAGGGCGGAAGTTGTTCTCGTGCCTTGAGCAAGCTCCCTGCACTGGTTCTGCTGCATACAAGGCCTTCGGTGCCACTAGAAAACCTCATACTTCCAGTTACAGTCTGTATATTTGTCAGAAGGCCTTTGTACTAATGGTGTATTTATAAAGTTATATGCTAGAATCTCATTAATTGGGAATGGGAAGATCCAGTGTGTATTACCCAAATGTTGTGAATTAACAAGTAAGGAAAGCAAACATAATTTTAAGAGGTAAAGGATACTGCATTACATTCTGTGTGATTGAAATATATCTTAATTGTTCTGGAGCATATTTTGTAAAAAATAAGTAAGATATAGTATGACTAAGGCCTTGCTACAGCCCTCTGCTATTAAACTATTGGGCTGCTCTATGCACCTGAGGTGACTGGGCATAAATAGCAGCTTTCTCTCTCTGTCCTTGGGGAAGCAGAAGTGCCAATTCAACTCTAACACAGATTAAAGCAGACCCTAGGCTCTCATAGTTTTCTCACTTGTAATGTCCTCCACATGGGGCCATTCCAGCAGGTTAGTGTCACCGGCATGCAGCACATTCTCTTCATTAGAGGAGCAGGGAGTGAGGCATTGAGCTGGCTACACTTGCTTTCCAAAACCCAAGAATTCCTATGCAAGGAAAATCTCCAGCTACCTATTACTGTCCCTGCTGTCATGGTGCTGGCCCCAAGCTTCTGGCCTCCAATGAAAAACAGGGCAAGGCCACTGATGCTGAGAATTATGATCCGTAGGGACTAATAGACTAAGAAGTAGTGAGGGTTCTCTGTACTAGTTATAACAACTATTTGCATGTAGAATGTGAATTTTCACCAGATTCTCAAAATGCTTTTCAAACATTATCTCACTTTACCCCGGGGTAATACTTATGTTATACTGATGGATAAAATAAGGAACAGTTAAGTGACTTGCCCCAGGTTACATAGTAAATCACCAGGGAGCCAGGAACAGAATCCAAGAGTCCAGACTTTCAGTTCTTACCATACAAATAAATGCAAGAGGAGTAGAAGATTACGGGGAGGAGGAGGTGGAGAGGGGAAATATGTTGAGTTTTTCTGGCCTCTCGCATATCCCATGCATAGGAGACAAATTGTGACGTCTGGTGCTCCTGTCACTGCTGAATTGACAGTATCCTACTTGAGTACGTGTACCGTGAACCATTCAAAAGTGCCACCATTTTTTATTGCTTCGTGCTTTGATAGTGCAGGTTTCAGTGATATTCAGTGCCAATCTAGATAGGAATACAACTAGACATAGTAATGTCTTTCAAAATAGTGCGAGTTTTTAACTTTGCTCCACTGCCTGTTTAGGTTCTGTTTTTACTTTTTACTTTTGCTTTTACTATTTTGAGAAGCAGAACAATAGTTTTGTTAAGATGAAATGTCCATCTCATGAATTTATTTGGATTCGATTACATTAGTTTTGTGTCTTAGTCCACTCTCTGTATTGCCATGCACGATTGATTTTTTTATCATTATTATTCATAAGCCATTATTGATTAATGTGATTCAAGGCTTGAGCTGATTTCCTATCTCCAGGGATTTATTCCACAACCTTTCTTGCCAGCTACTTCCGCTGTCCAAACTCTTCTCAGTTATAGGGCCAAACGCTAAGTCCTTGAGCTGAATACCTCAGAAAAGGCCAGGTAAGAGTTCTCTCTCTACTCTAGTGGCTTGATGCTATGTAGCTTTATTACTGCTACTACACCTTATAAGTTGGGTTTCCGTGCATCCTGGCCTTTTAATTCTGTGAATGCGCGTAGTCCTGGAACAGCTGGCCTCCTGTCATTTACCTCTATGCCCAAACCCTTCTTCTTTGTGTATGTTAGGGGTGGCCAATCCATTACAGATGAAGAGCCAAAATAGTGGTGGGATACAGTGCAAAGAGCAGAGGGAAAGAAGTTGTTGAGGAAAAAAAAAAGTGCTGCCCCCCTTTAAGAGCCGCGTATGGCCCAAGCAGGCTTCCATCGGCCACAGTGTCAGATCTTGCTGTGCCAAGTGGCGCCTTGCCCAGACAACAACAAAAAAAGGTTAGAACAGGTAACCACGAGAAGAGCCATGGGTCCAGGAGCCACAGTTTTTCCTTTGAAGAACCATGTGGCTTCCGAGCCATGGGTTGGCCACCTCGGTGTATGGCTTCTTCACAGTCCACTCTGCCTGCCATATCTCCCTGAACAACAACAGAAATGGTATTTCTGCAGTATATCACCCAGCATTCCACTGCATGGAGTGCCTGTAGTATGAATTTGTTCTGTATTTTCCTAATACTTAGGCTGAGGCTGGGCATATTAAGTGTCAGTGCTGCCATTTCTACTTATTGTCTGCTCTGGTCAAATGTCATCTCAGCAGCTAAGTTGTTTAATGGTATTTTATTTCATCAGGTTTCATTAATCTTACCCTGATTTTATGCCTTTTATATTACATCACTGCACAATCCAGCTTGGTAAAATTGCAATTACCATTGCTTAGAGCTACAAGAGGCACTAAAATGAACATTTATTTCTTAGCAGGCTTCCTATTGCATTCCTTTTCCATGAACGTTTCAGTTCAAAAAGTTTTGGGGCGCTTCTCTGGCTCAGTGACCCACAGTTGGTATGGGTATGCAGTGATACAGCACTAGTGTAGAGTGCATTGGTGGCATTGTGAAGGCACCATTGTGGAGGCACATCAAAGTTCACCAGCACTTCTATCTGCTTTCATAGAAACACAGGATAAGAAGAGACCTCAGGAGGTCATCTAGTCCAATTCCCTACTCGATGCAGGTCCAACCCCAACTAAATTATCGCAGCCACGATAATTTGTGAATCGGGGCCTTAAAAACCTCTAAGGAGGGAGATTCCACCACCTCTCTAGGCTCAGCTGGGCTGTGGGGGGAGCCTGGTGGTGGGGCTGGCAGCAAAGGGGCCAGAAATGACCTCCCCTGGTTCTGCAAAATCCCTCATCCTGAACCAGTCAGGTCTCAAGGATGCTGGACCAGACAGGTCCAACCTGTGTCTGCATGTATATCACACGTGTTTAAGTATTGTCAATGTTTTTCAGGACACTGGTGCATCCTTTTCTCAAGGGCATACTAAAATTATCTCATACTATTTACGTGGGCACCATTTGAGAGTATGAAAGTTTGGGCCTGCAAACACTGATGCACCAAATACTTATTTAGTATACACAAATATATTTAAATGCTTTGTTTTAGACATCTTTGAAAATTTCACCCTAGCTATGCTGAACACTGAATCTGTCATAAAAACAGGGTAAGCACAGGAAAACAACTGAGCCAAACTACAGATCCTGTCAACTCATTAATGAGATGATAGGTTAATTAACTTAATTTTCTTCTTCATCATTCAGAAATGTACATAATCAGCTAGGCAAAATAAACTTTTGAACCATGGAAAGGAGGCCCAGAAATGTCAGTAAATGCAAATAAGTTCTGGTTTATGTAAAGAGTCCTAATTTTCAGTAAATGGCCATAATAGCTTTACAAATTAATCAGGATGTTGAATAGTTTATTTTCGTTACCAACTATTTATCTGCTACCTTTCCTTCACTATAGCTCATGAACAAGTTTGAAACCCAGTCTTTCAGGCATGCATTAAAAATGCTAATGCTAAGAAAGATCACTGGCAATTTCTTACTGTTCATGTTGATAAACAAATCTTCTAAAGAGCATCGTCATGCTGTCTGAAGTGCTCTAAAACCACATGCAGTCCTGGCATACTTAAAACAGGAAAGAACCCCCATTTTATGATGACTTCAGCAACTAACTGAACTTTAGAAATTGAAATTTATGTCTTAGGATATTATTTTACTTTAGATAAGAATGGCTATACAGGGTCCATCTAGCCCAGTATCCTATCTTCTTAACAGAAGAGGTAATCCTCAAATGATCTAGCCACAGCTTCTGGCAAACAAAGGCTAGGGACACCATCTCTGCCCATCCTACGTAATAGCCACTGAAGCTATCCTCCAGGAAGGTATCTAGTTCAAAATGATGGACACTATGCCACAGTTCAGCTACAGTTATAATCAACAATATCTCAAGACATTGTTTTCTTTATGTAATGAAGTGTTTCTATTACTTAGGCCTTTTGAATAATATATGGGTTTTTTTTAATTAGGTATGCCTTTCAAATCCTCCCAACTCATCAATAAGTTTCTAAGCAGAGTACAAGTAATTGGCCTTAATTTATTAAAAGAACAGAAAAGTAGAACAATATTAATCCATTCAGACTGTACAAAAAGGATCTGAAGAGAATGGGGAATACAGTAGAACAAAATGAGTCAATTCTTGTTAAAATAAGAATGTAATTAAAGAATGCAAGTTTCTTGTCCTCTACACCGGCCCTACTCAAAATGGTCAGAGAAGCAGTTTGGCTGAGTTTTAACTGAAAGCAGCCAATTATTTTTTTTCGGAATCTAGCTTCTTTTTTCTCAAAAACAA